CAGCCGGCTTACGGCTGAAGCTGGGGCAAACCCAGAGGGGTCATTTCAGAATGAGCCTGAAGGGACTCTCCCCCCCCTCAGCGTGTCGGCACAACGGCCTGCCCAGGAGGCTCAGCCAGAGGGGCGGTGAACACCCAGCGCACTGGCAGAGCAGCACCGGGCTCTAAGTGCTTGTTTGGAGCCAGCCCAGCAGCTCTGGCGTCTCCTGCGTTGGCTTGGCTCTGTTCGAGACACGCCTTCCGCGGCGCACACGAGGGGACGGGAAGAGACTGGCAAGCTCCGTGGCTGCTCCCTGCCGCCCAGCCCAGCCAGCTTCTCTCTCTCCAAGTGAGCTGCCGAGATCTGAGCTGGGGTTTTCGGAGCAGCACACAACCACCGGGAGAGAGGAGGGAGCGTTTAGCTTTCCCGGTTCCCTCTGCACTCCCTAGCAAGCGCGTGAGGGTCTCACATGACTCCACGGCTAGCGTGGCTTCCACTGCTCCCTTCTGCCACAATGAGGCTTTATTAACCACCAAGCGAGCCCAGAACCAGACGGCTTCCCAGAGGCATTTAGGAGACAGAGCCTCATGCTTCAGGACACGCATGGGCATTCGCTACCAGGGGACAGGAGGAAACCTTCCCCAGGGCAGTTTATCCCACTCACTGTGGGATGCTTGCACCGCTCTCTGAAACAGCCGGCACTGGCCATTGTACAAGTATGATCGCGTGGCTGGGCGCTTCAGCATTCAGGTTACAACGGCAGGGAGTATAGCACCTCGGATGCACCATCGTGCCAACAGCGATACTGAGCGGGAGCAGTAGGGCCAGACTCGGGCAGGGAGTGCCCAAGGGAGACTAATCCTGTTTCCACCAGGCCTCTCACCCCAGGAATTGGGCTTGATCCGGAGCCACGGTCCTTTTTAGGTCCTAAGCGTCAGTGTGTTTTGCTGACGCAGGATTCGCACCCTGATCTCCACATGAGAGCAAGGGGGGCTGGCAGAAGGTCAGATCAGGCCAGATGCATCTCCCATCAGTCCCTGGCAAGGCTCCTGTCAATGGAGGGGAGACGATCTGTCCCGTTGCACAGGGCGGTATCTGGAGCAGCTGGCCACTTCTGCCATCTGGCAGCAGGACCTCTCTGAACAGAAAGGCCATGATGCAATTTACAAAAGCCAAAGCCTCGAGAGGGGGCTGCTCCCAGCGAGGTTACAGTAATGCCTCGGGAGTCGGCTGCGTGGGACTCAGCCAGCTCCCACTGCCTCATCCTGCCTCGTTTCTGTAGAGCCGAGATTGCAGCCAGGAAGGGCCATTGGTCATCAGCTCTGGCTTGCTGCTGAACACAGGCCTTCGGCACTCCCCCAGCCCATTGCTGGCCAAGGCAGGTACGTGCTTGGCCATTGAGGGGAGGAGAGAAAGGGGACCGTGGCTAATGCTGCCTGCGACACTTACGAAAGGCAACACAAAGTCTTTGGTCAGTCAGTCCCCCCCCCGGAAAAGAGAGTCCTTGAACAATGAGGGAGCTGCTCTCCACTTGGCTGGCGATCAGGGGCCCGGCTGCAGGGCTTGAGAAGCTGGGATGGGCAGAGCGTGTCCTTCCATCTCTTTCCACCCAACAGCTCCCAGGCACTGATCTTTATCTATGGCAAGGGCTAGAGGAGGGTAATCGAGTACTCACAGGAGCATGGCTGGCCCCTCACTATCTAAGATTTCTAACCCCCAGGGCTCCCTTAGCCAAGGCCTGTAAGCCACACCTGCGCCCTCAATGAAGAGGTCTCTCCAAATCAGGTGGCTCAGTTGTTCCATGGAGGTGGGAGGGGGGTTCATTCCTCAGCTGGGAGGAGGGCCATTTCTCAGTTCCTAGCACCAGAAGGAACTACAGGTGGACCTTAAAGGGACTGGATAATTGTAAGACCAGCCACATTCCAAGGTCACATGCTGAGGCAGAAGTAGCCAAATCTCATGCTTCATGGCACTATCTGATTTGCACAGGCGCCAGGCCCGTGTGCAGAGACCCTATACAAAGCGTTGTCATGTCAGCCAAATGCAAGAGATTGTCACCTTCCCTTGGAACATCAAGCCAGCCACCTGCAGAGCTGGAGAAAGTCCGACGGTTGGCAAATCCTAGATTCCCCCATATCACGCCCATGGCGCAAGAGACTTGTTTTGCAAGACAGTGTTTGTGACCTGCTAGTTCTCCTTCCCTCCCCAGCCAGGACTGTGCTGTAGCCTCTGGAATGAGTCACACACAAGCAGCCGGCTGGGCAGAGGAGACAGAAGGGTGAAAAAGTGAAGTGTTCCTCAGCACTGACACTCTCTCAGCTGCGAATGAGGCAGTGCGGTTGGCTTGGCCGTGACAGGGATCCTGCAGCATCCTGGCTCGAGCGTTGGTGATGAGCACTGAAATCTCAGCTCAGCGGCACGATGACACATCTCTGAGTTCTACAGAAGACGTCAACGTGTACTGGGCGGGCCTTCCTTAGAACCCTAGGAAGGGATCTACGCTGGTGTCCTCGATCTATCCTCCGACACCCTGGCTGCGGAGATGCACACCCAAGGCTGCGTAGCTGGGGCCCAGTGTAAAAGCACATCTTTGCAAAGCTGACGACCGTGGGGACGGTGAAATGTCCCCTTTCACAGCATTTGCTCGGAATTAGTTTCACAACGTTTACTCTAGACAAAACTATTTAAAATATTGGTTAGGGGCATTTTCACGTTTTCCATGCCCTCTGGGAAGCTGATTTGCACGAAGTTCTAAGCATCGGGGATTTAAAGACAACTCCCATTAAAAGTTCTCTAAATTCCTTAGGCCAGCATTTCTCAAACTGTGGGTCCCAACCCCCCGGGGGGTCGCGAACAACTGGGGGGGGGTTGCAGTATCAAGTTTGAGAATCCCTGCCTTAAGCCAATAATAATAAAACCTCCTGACCAGTATTTCCCAGTGGCTAGTCTCCTCCAGCCCCTCTGGTGCCCAAGTCCTTCCCACAGTGCAGGAAGAGCCAGACCTAGCAGACAGTTGGGTTTAAGGCCATACGTTAGCAACGAGGCACCCGCAGCAGCTGGCTCAGGCATTGTGATCCCAATACAGGGCATCAAGTCATCAGTCCAGGTCCAGACTGACTGACTCTCACAGGGGCTCCCCTTTTTTCGGGGGAGGCCAGGCAGTGAGTGCACGGCAGCGCCACCCTGCAACGCAACTCCTGTTCTGTAGCGAGTGCTAACCCAGGCCTCTTCGCCACGCTGCCCCTCCAGCCACAGAGCAGGGCTGCCCGCGGCCCCCCCTCTTTGTTCTGGAAGCCCTAGCCACTGCTGAGCACGCCCCAGCAGCCAATCCTCTGCTTTCTACATGCCAGGCTTGCTCCAATCGAGACCTTCGAGAAAACAATGAGCTATGCCAGGGCCCTGCTCAGCACAAGCAGAGCTCACCGCCAGGCCAAGGAACTGGAGTCCTACAGCAACGCGACTGGTGTGAGTTGGGCCGCAGGGGCTCTTCAAGTCACCGGTTTGGAGCAGCTTGAAGAAAACCCTTTTCTGAAGGGGCAACTTGAATTTATCCCAACAACTCTCTGCCTAGGGCCCTCACCAAGGGCTCTTAGGTGAGGCGACAGTGATGGGATAAGAGGAAAGGTCCTCTCCTGGATCGTAACTGGTTACTCCAGAGGCATCAGTGGTCAGTTCTCAGACTGGAGAGAGGTAAATAGCAGGGTGCTCCAGGGATCTCTCCTGGGACCAGTGCTGTCCAACATATTCATAAGCGACCTGGAATAAAGGTGCAAACTAGGGCGGCAAGAGTGGAGCCATGTAAACAGATAACCAACAGGTATGAGCTTATCATTACCCAGACTTCTGCACCGCTCCTGGGGAGCCACCTGCTGCCTTGCACTGCTGCTTCTCCATCAGAGATAGCAGCAGCTGGCTCCCTGAGACTAGGCAGGAGCCGGTGTGCGCGAGGAGCCAGCTGCCGCCCCGGGTGCAAACACTGACATTGTAAGTGATCACACGGTTAATCATTTAACAGCGAGGTGCTAAAATGTACAGACACTACAAAAAAATTACTCACGCTAGCGAGGCCCAATGCATTCTGCAATCAGTTACTAAGAGAGCTCGTGGAACTCGGAGACCGGGCAGCAAGATGAGTGATGTTGATAAAAAGCAAATGCACATTGGAAAACAATCCCAACCAGACATGCAGTAGGTGGGGATTTAAATTAGCTGTTCCCACCCAAGAGATAGCGAAATCACTGCGGATAGCTCTGCTGAATATTGAGAGGGATGTTTTCAGAAGTCGAAATGCTAGCCAAGTACTCGGAACCATAAGCAAAGGGAGAGAGAGCAGAACTGTAATATCAGTGACACTCAATCTCTGGTAGGCCAACACCTTGAATACGGCATGCAGTGCTGGTTTCCTATTATAATTCATCTTTTTTATGAGCTGGGCAAAGATAGAGAGGGAACAAATATTAAAGGTATGAAACCACTTCCATGTGAGAGACTAAAGAGACTGCAACTGTTCCGCTTGGGAAAGAGACAGAAGGGGATCGGATATAGGTTTATAAGATTCTGAAGTGTGGAAAACGAATAAGGAAGTTTTATTTACCCTTTCACATAACACAAGAACCGATTAAGTTTATAGGTAACTGGTCTGGGACACCATAAGAAAGTACTTCTCAATGCACGGTCAACCTGCAGAACTCGTTGCCGCAGGATGTTGTGAGAGCCAAAAATTGTAACCGAGTTAAAAGAAAGTTCCTGCAGGACAGCTCCTGCAATGGTTATTAGCAAGATGATCAGGGATGCAACACCATGCTCTGGGTGTCCCGAGCCTCCAACAGCCAGAAGCTGGGGGTGGACAACCGGGGATGGACAACCGGGGATGGATCACTCAAACTGCCCTGCTCTGTTCATTCCCTCTGAAGCTGGCCACTGCCGGAAGACAGGGCACTGGGCTAGATGGACTATGGGTTTGACTGAGTGTGGCCGTTCTTATGCAACCCACCCAGCGGCAGCACTGACTGGCAACACCAGGCCAGAAGGAGGAGTGCGGCCAGTGGTGCTGTGCCCATGTGATGTTGTACTGCAGGTGACTGGAGCCAGGGCTCAGGTACCGCGAGGCGCTCAGGGATACTGCACGGGTCAGTCGTCTCAGTTCCAAAACCTGGCAGTATGGTAACTAGAGCGTCTAACTGACCTGCCCGTGTGAGCCAGGCGGAATACTCAGGGCCTTCCTCTGCCCCATCAGAGTCCAGCCTCTCCGGCAGCCCGGCTCTTGCCACGAGCATTACTCCGAGCGGCAGGGGAAATCTGGAGCCAGACGTTCCCAGGTTACTCTGCGCCCTCGGGGAACTGGGACAGAAGAGGCAACAGGACTCCAGGGAGATTCTCACTAGTGGATGTAACACGCCTGTTACTCCCCAAACTCTACAGGCAGCTGAGAAAGACAACCCAGTGTCACAAGCCCTTCTCCTCCCAAGTTCTACATAGCCCCATTCCCAACTCCAAACTGCCATGCAATGCCCCCCACACCATCAGTTCTTGGCCAGCCTTCATAGGTGGAGCCAACCAGGCAAGGGGAAGTCTAGCAGGCAGACCCATCAGCTCCCAGAAATACTTCCAAAAATTGCTTTGCTTGGGTGGACTGACCCCTAAACCATCTGCTCCAGCCAGCAGTAGACACATAAGGAGTTCCAGGATGCAGTGCCATTAGCCATCAACTTTTTTGGGGGGTGGGGGGGGGGCGAGGGGTCACCGTCAGGAGACATGTCTGCAGAGACTCTACCTTGCTATAGTCACTCGTCTGCTCTGAAGGGAATCCATAGGGCCCACGACAGCTAGACGCTGCTCTCTGCAGTGTGTCACAACAGAGCTGAACAGCTGATTGGGACGCCTGTCACTCACACTGACCAAAGCCAGCTGCTTTGGGAAGCATCTCTCACACTCCATGACCACTTGGATACAGGGTAGGAGTTTCCTGATGCCATCTGGGGGAATCTAATATCCTGGATCACGAAGCCAAGCACCCTTGCTATTTGTCTGACTCAGGGTCAGGAAGATGCCCTTCCATTGATCCACCAGACCAATCCTGCTTCTAATCACTTTGCTCTCAATGTCTCACAGAAGCAAGCTCCTCAGATCCGTTATGCACCAGGCAGCATCTTTCTACCTGGCTAGTGACGCAGCCTCACCTCTGCGGGATAGCCGGGTATCTGCATCTGTATCCACAAACAGCTTCATCCGGAAGAGGTCCCGGACCTCCTGAGTGTAGAAGGCCAGGATGCCCTCGAAGAGGACCACATCAGCAGGGTACACCGTCACCGTCTCCTCTTTCCTGCCATGCACAAGAAAGGCATGTCAGAACAAGATGCAGGGCAGGAGGAAGAGCTGCTCTGATGGGAGATGTGCTGGGGCTGGCTGTTGATTGGCTCTGCACCTTAGTGGATTGTAATCGAATATATAAAGGAGAATGTTTGTGCGCTAATAACTTGGACGCTATAAGAGCTGCCGCAACCAAACTTTGCATGGGATAATCTTTCATCCAGGAGAAGGTTTTAAGGGACTGTGGGAGGGAAGAGATGAGACCGACGCCTCTCCCCGGGGCTGCGCCGAGCTTGGCAGTGCAGGGAGAAGCGGCTTCCTGGGGGAAGCGGCAAAGCCAGTCACTTACTATGGCCGGCGGAGGGACAAGGAAGCAACGCGCAGCTCCCTTCCCCCTCCCTCCCCTCAGGCTCCTCACCTCAGTTATATCAACTGTCAACTTATATTTCAACAATGTATACTGACAAAGCGCAAGGACAGTCACTTAAAGTAGTTGGAATTGATTTGGAGACCTCTTGCTTTTCACATGGACAATTCTAGGTTGTGTGTTCAAGAGTTGGAAGTGGAAAAAAATCTGTACATATTTGTTAAGAATAATGAAAAAAAATCGTTTACAATAAAGTTTTTGATAACATGTAAACTTGGTTTTATATTTTTTGGTATATATTTTAATTCCTATAGAACTCGGTGCAACTTTTCTACCATTCAAAAAACAATAATGGACTACTGTTTTTCTAAATTTTGTTCCTCCACTTTCCTGAGCCACACCTGCTCCCGCTAGTATGGGCATACACATTATTATATTCACGCTTATAAATGTGCACTGCATTTTGTACCAAGTAAGAGGCCTATGAAAAGCTTATGACTCGCTGATTCGGTTTATACTACTTGTGTAGCATTTCTATACTTGAAGAGGTGAATATAGCTACATGTCTATTTCAGATCCTAGCCCCTGGAGTAAAACCCGCAGAGTAGCTAGCCAGCGTGTCTGGGGAAGGCTATTCAGATTAATTGGCCCATCAAGGAACGTTCAATGAACAAGGAAGCTGAATGGACTTTCCTGCAAACCGTCAATCTGGAATGCGGGCCTAAAAACCTGCCTAAAAAGGCCTGATGAGTCATGCATGGAAGGTGGTTCTGGCAGTGAGAACAATGGGACCCCTCCACATGGCCAAGGGTCTAGTGGGCCCTGGGGGATCCTCCATTTGTCTTCAATCCAGCAAGTCACTTCTGGACACTCTCTGCTATGAACTGAAGCTTGAAAGGTCTGATGGCCCATGCTAGCAGAGGATGGATTCCAGAGACTTGATTAAGACAGCAGAGTACTCCACCTCTGCACCAAGAATCATGCAATCGCTGTAGGTCAGTGGTTCCCAAACTTTTCGGCATCACACCCCCTTTTTGAGAAACACTCGCCCGCCCCATAGCAACAAAACTTGTTGAGCCAAAAAAGGAACTGACGGGGGGAGACCCCAGATTGGTCATTTCTGCTCAAGAGATTTGCCTGGAGTGTCAGGGAAGGGAGCGTACTGCAAATTAGAAGGACTTGGGGCGGGGAGGGTGCGGTAATGCAGCTCTGCCCAAAGCAGCAGGAGTCTCTCTCTCACCTGGAGTGGGAGACAAAGTCATAGACAGGAATCTGGACAGTCTTCCCTTCCATGATCTCTGTGAGCGTTTTGACGATGAGCTCATTGTCAAAGGCATCTGAGGAGAGACAAGCTGTTACCAAGGCTGCCTGCCAACCCCTGCCCCCATACATCCTGCTATTTCCAACTAGACCGAGTTCCTGGTAAGTTACCCAGAACGGCAGGCAGGCAGATTCGTAGGGTCTCAAGGTCGGTGTGCTAATGGGCCAGGATCCCAGCTGGTGAAAGGAGTCAAAACGCCATCGATTCAGGGGGGTGGTCCTGCTATACAGCAGCCCAGGGATCTAGCCCTGGAGGATCAATACAATCCTCATACTGACTGTGTCTGAAGCCAAGATGAGAGTGACTCTCCTCCCAAACTTCAGCCCCTGGGAGACTAGAGCAGCCTTTTCTCCCGGAACGGCTCCCGCCCACAGCTTCACAGAGAGGGCTCTGTTAGCAGGCAGCTCACTGCCCAAGGCAGCAGGGCTTTGGGTGAGGCGGTTCTGGAATTTCCCACCAGCCCATGACGCGGCTGAAAGAGTCTGTTGTAGGGATAGGAATTGGGCTTCCTTTGTATTTGAGGCTAATTTGTTTTCTGGAGAGACCCTGCTCAGCAGGGTACCTTCCAGGAGGTGTGGACTTCTTAGGGGAACGGGAGCGCCCATCAGAGTCTCCCCCGCCCATTCCATCCCAGGTTCACCGCACTAGGAACCCCGCCGGTCCCAAGCAAGCTGGTGCATTGCATCGTTAGCCATCCACCCAGCATTGGTGCACGGGGGCAAGATGCTGGGTCCCTGGCATTGCCAAGAGGGTTTGTGCCAGTGGAACGAAAGCAACGGCTTGGACCAGAGGGCTTCACTGATGCCCTCTGCAGCCCAACACCTCCTCCCAAAGCTCAGGCTCCACTCACCTGGGTGGTCAAAGTTGAACTGGCCCTTGAGCGCCTTGGACTTCTGCTCAGAGGTGAGGACCCGGTAGAAGCTGTCTTGGCTCAGTATCACCACCTGCTTCTGGCGATAATCCACCTCATTCTGGCCCAGCAGCTGGACGATTCTGGCGCAAACCGACGACTTCCGGAGATGAAGCAAGGGGGAAACCAGAAGAGGAGGCTGATGCTAATGGACACTACTCTGAGGAGGAGCCTGGTAGCCTTGGGGGAGGGAGAGGGCAAGACAGTCCCATCCTCAGCTGACGCTTTGCTCCTTAGCCAAGGAGTGGAGCACTCACCTGTCTCCGACTCCTACTTGCTGGGGGGAGCCGACACATGACTCCCTCTCTGCACTCACTAGACCCATTTTACCAGCAAGCCCAACACCTTCTAGCTGCCACAAATCTCCACTATCCTATTCCTCCTCCAGTCTCTGGCTTGTCCCCTATTGCGGGAGTAGTTCCAGGGACTGCTCTGCGCTTTCCTCAGCATGAAGCCACGTCACTTGCTCCGCTGCCCTTGGGGTTCCCATTCAGGTCAGGGTCAGTCCTCACTAAGAGCAACCGAGCAGGCCTGCAAGGAGCAGCAGAGGCTCAGGGAGCTGCCTTCAAACCGGCTCCAAGAGCCGTGTCTGTGGGACACGAGGTGGCAGGCCCCATTCTCCCCTCACTCACACGTGGAAGTCTGCGGAGTTCTCCTCTCAGCAGCCGTTGCTGATGTATCGGAATTCAGGCTCTCCTGGGGGAAGCTAGCAGGCAGAAAGTCTGTACAGAAGTCAGTTCAATACCCTAAATAAAGCCCAGCAAAATGTAGTGGATTCTGTACCAGCCAGAACACACGAGCGCCTTTATCAGAGCTCTCCCAGCCCTGCTTGCTGCTGCAGAAAGCACATCCTGGTGCCTCTTGGCACAGAGGCTAAAGAAGCTGTTTCATGAGCAGCTCGGTTTGTATTGACACAGGCCACAGGGCTCCGGCTGACATCCTGCCCATTCACACTGACAGGGAGCAGAGCAGAAGAGCCGTGCAGCTGGGGGTTGGGGATGGGCCCCATGGAGGGGCTGCTGGGGATCCCAAACCGTTTGTAGGGAAGATGGCTGAAGTGACCCTTTCAGATATACCCAAGATCTGGTTGTTGGGATGCAGATTAAGCTAGTCTGGGAAGGGTCCCAACAGCAGGGGGAAGGAGACATGTGGCTGGTGCAAGTCCCCAGCTCCATGCCTGCTGCTTCCTACCCAACTGACTCAACAGGGAAGCAAGTGACATGGGGGCACCGGAATGGAAGGCAGCAAAGAGGACACCAAGTGCAGATGCTGGGGAATTAGGCTGAAGTGTGACCAGGTCCGAAGATTAAAAACTGAACTAGCAGGACAGAGGAAAGCTGCCTGCCACACTTGGCCTGTTCAGGCAGCCTTTTGGCAATGCATTCTGGGTACCTATGCTACAAGATGTTGGCCACTGCATCCAGTTGGTAGGCATCGGGGGGGAAAATCAGGAGCTATTTCTTGACTCCCCCCCCCCCCCCC